TGATTCGGGTCGCGACCAATTTGGGTCGCAACCAGAGTCGTGGAACGAATTAAGTTCGTGACCCAAGGTACCACTGTACTTATAACTGCTGTGAAGATCGGAAGCCATTTTTTTAAATATTTTTTTTATATCTTCTTTTTTCTACTTTTCTTCTACTTTTTCTTTTTTGGACTTTTAGCTTTTTCTTTTATTTCTCCCTTTCTCTTTCTTCTTTCCCGTTCTACTTTATTAGTTCTTACTATTGGTGTTAAAACTCTCAATAAAAACTATCTATCTATCTATCTATCTATCTATCTATCTATCTATCTATCTATCTATCTATCAAATGGATTTTCAGGAAAAGAGAAGGAATGCCCCACTTTAGAGCCAGATCTCTGCCCACAGTCCTCTGATTTCAAATGACAGTTCTTTTACCTGACTCTTAAAAAAAGGTTTTGGGTTTTTTTAGGGTAACTGAGCATGCACAGCATTCTCCATTCAAACTAAATTAAAACCTTGGGAGAAAATAACCTCCTATGACATATTCCAAGTATGACCATAAAATAATATGCTGAGATTAATAAATTAATTTTTTTGTTTAAGAGAATCAAAACAAGAATTCATTGTCTGCTGAAATTACTTGGGGAGTTTCTTTCCATTATTTTCGACTCTATTTGTGCCCCCCAATTGCTGTTGTCAACAGATACCTGTGGAGGAAGTTCTCCTTCCTGCCAAGTTCTCTCTGGAGAATTTTCCAAAACAGACTGCTAGAACTAAACATCAGAAAACCCCAACAGGATCTGATCAATAGGCTATTCAGTCCAGCAATCTGGATCACTTCTAGGCCAAAGAGATGTGTTCAAGAACCTGACCAGCAGAACAGGAAAACAGCAGTGTACTTCCCTGGTCGCTTCCAGAAACTGATATCTAAGGCAATCCTGCCTGTGATACAAGAGGTACTTTACTGCCACCAAGATACATAGTCACTGGAAGCCCTAACCTCCATGAATTGTATAAGAAGCACCCTATTAAAATCAGCCTAATGGGTAAACATCACCACAGATGAAGGCAACCAATTCCATAGCTTTAACATGCATGGTATAAGTGTGTCCTTCCTTTCATCAGTTCTGAACCTGCCAGAATTTGATTCAGCAAATGACTCCTAAGATCTAATGGTCTCAGAGGAAAACCTTTCTTTGTTCGTATTGTCAATATGTGTATGTGGGGTTTTTGGGGGGTTGGGGGATGCCTTCAGTGTTGATTCCTGGCAACTGCCTGGACAAGTCTCTGCAATTTTCTTGGCAACATTTTTGGAAGTGGTTTGCCACTGCCTCCTTCCTAGG